GGGGGGGGGGGGGAGAGAGACACGAGGCCCGCGGCCTTGTGGAGAAGGCCCACTGCACGACAAACCTCGTGCCCGCCTTCGTCGGCGTGCGTTCGATAACCCGCAGGCGAGAAAGCCAAACCGGCCTTGACGATGCTCGCACCATTGCACCACATCACAACAGGCCTGGCGCTAACGATAACTGCGTGTTGCAACTTTGACAAGGTAACGGCTCCATTCAGTCAACAAAGCGACCAAGTATCGTGACGCTCGAGGGATACCTTCGGATCGGAGACGACCACTGCACGTAGGAATCCAGGCCGAGTCCCCAGTGTGGCTGCGGGGTGGTGGCCGTTGTCGCAGAGCTCATGTACTTGTACGCGCCCTGAACAACAAGATATGAAGACAAAAAATATATTTGCGGGGGGGGGGGGGGGGGGGTTATAGTCAACCGCGGTGCAAGCCCTTGCTTTATTTTGGCGCGGAAAGGGTTCACCAGTCCCTTCCTTCTCCTCGGCAACAGGCGCGTTCTCCTAGATGCTGGGAACGAACCCTCGTCGCCGAGACTGTTAACCCAAACACATACCATACGCTAGAAGAACCACGGATAATCTGTTTCTCGGACCTTGGCCATCGGCACGGATGCTGGCCAGAGTCAGATAGTCCGACTTTTCCGCGAAAACATGGCGAACTTGGGAGGCATGGTCCGACCAGAGCGCGTCGACCGATGTAGGCAGAAGGATAGGGATCTGAAGCAAGTCCCGCAAGAGGCGGAGAGATGGAACCCACCTATCAATAGGCCAATTTTTCAACCTGAACTGTTCCACGACCAATCTTGTGCCAACACCACAAATGGAATGGTAATGTTGGACACATCTCGTAGACAAGCTCCCTAGACGTATGAGGTCTTTCGGCACCCACTGTGTTCTGGGGCCATCGAGCCTTGAAATTCGGTCAACGGGGGGTGCCATCTCTCCGCCTCTTGCGTGATACTGCCATTGTTCGGACCTCATGTACCCCTGCTGAGGTATTTGAGCTGCTGCGGCGAACATATACCAAAGGTAACCTATCTCTTTCTCCCGACGCCGCACGAGTCTATCTGGCGTAACAACGACCTACGATGACGACGACGACAAAAACCGACACAGCACCACGGCTCGCCTGTGCCCTGCAGTATTTCTCCGGCAGCAACTCCAAGTCGGCTTCAGGAAAGTTGTCGGGGGCCTTCTGGTGCCTGAACGGCAGAGGAATTCCCTCTTTGCCTCCAACGCTGCATGCATCATTTTCAGTTTTGGGGGAGAAAAACAAACGAAGCGGGGGGCCAACGTCAAAATTGGAAAATTTATTAGATGAAGACACGGAACCATCGCGGGTGAAGCGGGGCAAACATGCGGACGAGAAGGAGGGCGACACACAGCAGGGATGCGAGTGGTCGCCGTTCGGTGGAGAAACGAGGACGGCATCACACCCACTCTCCATAACGCGACCCGCAGCGAGGGCGAAGCGCCTGATCTTCAAGCAAGCCGCCCGTGCCCCGGTGCGGACACAGACCCTTTTCTTCCACCTGACATATAAACCGCAAACCCACCGACGCCCTTTCACCCGCTAACTTGCTCGATCTCTCGGCGAGACGAACACACACACTCGGTTCATCACCAGAGACTTATGTTCAGCCATTCAGCGTTACTCATGTAGCAAGCCTACCCGTACCAGCGGGCGGAAACCGTGCCCGGAGAGTGCAAACCAATCGCTACAGGCCTCATCGCATCGCACGCCTGCATAGACAGCTTCCCTCCGTTGCAACGAACGTGCACGCATCACTCTCAATCTCACAAGGTAAAAGAAACGGACCATCGTTCCCAAGACAATGCAAGTCGCCGAAAAATGCCGCCTTGAACGGCGCCGTACGCCTCCTGCGTACAAATCTAGGAGCGTTTACACGCTTCTCCTAGTTGATGTTGTCTTCACAGACTTGTACAAACACATTGGCCTGCGCACTTGCAGCCCTCGAACGGCGTGTCTGTACACCGGCTGTGCGTCATCTATTTGGAGCGAATACCCGCTTTTCCTGTCTACTGGTACTGTTCTTGGCAGGTCCTGTGCAACCACTGACCTGCCCATCCCCTCGCCAACAAGCACCATCATCTCAGTCACCAGCCGGATGGATCTGCAGGAGGGGTCCTCTGGTATTACCTTCACCGCGTAGCCCCCGGGGACGGAGGGATCCTCCACCGCCTGCCAAAACCCATCACCATCGAACCAAAATTGTCAAGAGGGTTTGATGGGGAGGGGCAGGCAGAGGAGGTGGTACTCCGCTTGTACATGGTTTTGAAAATGCAAGGGATCGCCGGTTAGTCACCGGCCCGGTTGTGTTCACTCAGTGGTTAGTGCCAGAAGTTGAGGAGCAGATGAAACACGGGTTTGCGATCGCCCGAAAACCGTCCTTCGGTCGTCCGCGAAGAATGTGCGTGAAGCGTCAGGAAAAAGGTGGTTACGGAAACGTATTGCCCACGTCGTATCAGGCGCTATTGATAGATTACATGTTTGCACGGTCCTACCAGTTACTTCAAGACAAGCGGGACACACCGACAGCGGTGGCGGCGGCGGCGGCGATGGCAGCAACAGCAGCGGCGAGAACAAGGGTACCAGAACAGGGAGAACTACTAGGAGGGCCCACGTGGCCAACTTCAGCGCATGAAAAGTGGGTGAATTTGTCAAAACATACACATGTCTCAATAGATCGCGCAAGGTGCAGGGAGAACGCCTATTTGCGGGGTAGAAAGAACCCTTCAATGAGCCTCCGAGGACCGACTGAAATCTCGGTATGTGAGAGAACGGCGCCTCTCGGCTCCGTGGGCAGCGGTACCGCGGTCAACCACGCCAGCAAGTGATCGTCGGCTTGAGGGAAACGAAAAGAGGACGGGGATGAAGCAGATGAAGGATGTGGTCGGGGAACACCGGTGTAGACGGGCTCTAGACGGGCTCTCATCGGAGAAAAGGCACAAAGAAGAAAACAAAAGCAGCAAGAGCCCGCAACACCACACTCGCCTTTACGTTGTGGTCCAGCCCCTTCTGGAACCGGTCCACAGATCCCCGCTCGCAACGGTACCTGCCGCGGTGTTGTGCGTGGTGTGTTGTGGCCGTGTGGCGAACGAGTGCGCGAACGAGGAGCAGAGCGACGAATGAGAGCACGTATGTACGCGACGGGCGCGTGCGCGGGCGGCGACGTTGGAATGCAAACGCATGACACCGTGCAGGGCCAATCGAACGGAGGTGCAACTCGCAAAGCATCACCACGCGGCCGTCGATCGCCCTTGAAAGCTTTGGTTGAAGCACGTGAACACGAACCAGGGACACAAAAACAACATGGCATTCCGTTCCGTGGGAGGATGTCAGCTTTCAGAGTTCGGTTCGCTGCTGCGCCTGCTGCAACTACTGCGGCTGATGCTGATGCTGACGCTGATGCTGATGCTGATGCTGACGCTGATGCTGATGCTGATGCTGATGCTAACACGCTTACCGTCTCCTGCAACACCCCTTGTTCAACCAACGGCCTCGTGATAGCTCGTATTGTAATTGTTCAGCCCGCGGGTAGAAAAATGATTTTGGCTTGACTGGGCTCATGCCGCATTCCGCCACAGCTCGCACGGTGGTGTACACATTGGTAGGCTCGCAGCCACGGCCGTCCACACCGTACCCAACGCCCACTTTGTGTTTGACTGCGCTAACCCCCCCCTTGTGTTGTTATCCCTAGGGTAGGGGGTGGGATTTCGGACAAGTGCTTACTGCTGGGCAAGATGTATGCGGCCGACACGACGACCAAAAAACAAAAAAAAAACGGTCGACAGTAGGATGTATACCCCGGCTACGTGCCACGCTCAGTTTATCACCTACACCGTTCCGAGCACTGAGAGCGAAACAGAAGAGCTAACATCATGTGGATACTGGTACAACGAAACACAGCAGTTTCTCTCCAATTGCTACTGCTGCTGCTGCTGCTGCTGCTGCTGCTACGCGGGTTCGAGTGTTGCCGCCGCTTTAGATGGACTACGTATGTACCTGTATCTCAGCTGCGCGAGCTCGTCCAGGCGGCCCAGTTCCCACTCGTCAGCGCTGCCGGCTATCCCGTTGACCAGCATGTCTTCGACATCATCGTATGTGAGTCGGTACGTGACCTACAACAAGAGAGGGACCACAACAAGGGAGGGAACACAAGAAGAGCGGCAAACGCCGATGTTAACTCCTCCGCCCGCTTGGCGTCTGTTCGATACGGTATGCACATTTCGAGGTTGTCTTCGCAATGTGGTGAACACGCTCCAACACGTGGCGTTTCCCCCCCAAAAAAACTGCCTGGTGCCAGACACCCATGTCAGGGACAAGACCGTATGCTATTGTACTGGTTGTCTCCTGAAGAAAGAAAATGGAAAAGCGATCGCAACGCCGAATCAACTGGCTTGTCGTCATCTCTACCCACAGAACGCCAAGAAAGGCCCGACTACGCTAGCTTTGTCCCAACGAGAAGCCGTGGGAGCAATCTGCAGCTCACCACGTTCTGGGAGGTGACGGCATCACTTGTGAACCGTGTTGATATTCATACACATCTTGTGCATGCGGCGCGTTCTCTGTGTCTCTGTATCTGTCGATCAGCGCCTGCAAAGACTAAACAAGAAAACTCTTACAGCCTAGGCACAAAACAAGGTACGCAACCAAGCAGCTCCAGAACATACACCATGTACCTCAAAGCGGCAGGACCCACCTAAAAAAACAATTTCGTTCCGATCACCCACCTTAACAAGCGCTGGAGTAACGATAACGTCGGTGATCTCCCCGCTCTCCCCCAAGGTGATACCCATGCTCAGAGAGTAGCACTCGTGCCCGGACCTGGCACAAAGGTGGTATTCCGTACGTTGGTGGGCAGTGGTAGTCCGTACGTTATTGGGCTTTCCCCGCAACATGGGCCGGGATGTGACAAAACAATTACCAAGGAGAAGCGTCGAAACTGAAAGATTGCTTGGGGCGACTAGTTACGTCTTCCCATACCCGCCGAATTCGTGGAATGTCTCTCCTTGCATCCCCCCCCCCCCC